CACGAGATAACTCTGGCTTTCCTTCACCGTGTTCTGTACCCCTTTAATAGAAGAACGCGTAATGTTCTGGTTCTCAACTAAAGATTGACACACAAATTTAACCAAAATGTACAAACTAGTAAATATATTAATCAATTGCTCAATTAAAAGAGAAATGTAATTTAACAACAATAACACAAAATAGATTCTACAACCACAATTTTCAATTTAATCTACAATAAGACAAATCGAAGTATTAATTGTAACAAAACCTACACCTTAAATATTAATTGCTACCAAAAGAAATCCTAATGGCATGCAATTTCTAGAAAGATTTAAAGAAATATCCTAATCATGCAATGTTCACACACACACACAGAGAGAGAGAGAGAGAGAGAGAGAGAGAGAGAGAGAGAGAGAGAGAGAGAGAGAGAGAGAGAGAGAGAGAGAGAGAGAGAGAGAGAGAGAGAGAGAGAGAGAGATCCTTGGATTTATAGTAGTACAATGTGCTTGTCCTGGCTTTATGTTTAATTTAGTCTCCAATGGTTTTCCATTGAAATTTTGTTGGTTTTTCTCTATGATTTATAACAAAATTACAAGAGTTCGTACAATCACAATATCTGAAATAAACGCTAATTTTTTTTATTCTCTCTGAAACTTTGACGTGTACAAAGTCTACAAATTGAACTCTATTCAAAATCTTTACTCGAGATCGCTTCTTGAATCTTTCACCCCTAACAACCTGCTCCCAAGTCTCTGTTCTACGACAGTCTTTATTGGATCCCACCGGTATTTTGAGCATCAATATGTTCGAAGATCAAGAAGAACTCCTACCTTGTTTGAAGACTTTCACATAACACTACTGAGGTCAACCTGAAGAGAAAAACTTTCTTCTTTTTTACTAGAATTGTCAAAACCAGTCACAACACCACACACCTTTGCGAACATCTAAATTCTTAATTAAATCTTCAAAGAAACATTAAATTCAAAAACAAATATCCTCAACAATCACAAATCTTTGCAGATGAGATTCAGATCCATACAACAATGGAAAAAGAATGAGGTAGAAGATGAAAGAAGTCGTTTGCAAGTGTTCACAAAAGATCAAAACTCTTTTGAAAAATGAAAGAAAAAGTAGTTTGTGAGTTTTCAAATCAATATTCGAAGTACGTGTTTTATAAAATTGTGAAAGATTTGAGAGAAAAAATTTATTTATAGGTGTTGGAAATTTAGCACAAAAAAAGTGAAAAAAAATCATGTTTGATTCGAGTCATGAATACATGAGTAATTTGAGTCAAGTGGCAAAATAGTTTGGATCAAGATTTGTTAAATATGAGAAATCCATTTAACCATGATTCTAGTCAAGAAAAAACCTTTGATTCGAGTTATGAACAATTTGATTTCAATTTAGAACAACTTGTGATTCGACTCAAGCAAAGTAGGGCAAATCGTCAATTCATGATTCAGATTATGAGCAACTTGTGATTCGAGTCAAAGGGTTTCATGATTCGAGTCATGTACAATCTGTGATTCAACTCACAAAGTCTTTGATTTCTCTCTGTTTCTTCTGATTCGACTCATAGAGTGTGTGATTCGAATCACACACCTAAAATCTCAATTTTTGCAATTTTTAAAGTTGGTTCAAGATTCCACTAATGTTATAACTTGAACCAATCTCAAATATGGTTCTTGATCCAAAAACTCAACTAATTAACTTAAAATATATTGCTCATATTCAAACACAAACAATTTGAATTATACATGCTAAAATATCCGGATCTAAAACTCAACCCAAAAATATACTATTAGAACAGAAACTCAATGATATAAAACTAAAACAAAAAACAAAACTTAAATGATAAGCAACAAAACCATATAGAAACCACCATTTCCCCTTAGTAAGAAAAGTCTTTAGAAGACAAACAACCTAGCTAACGTTTCTCTCGAATTGAATCAAGAGGTTCCCGTTGAGTACAACGGATGTAGAGGGTGTTAATACCTTTCCTTTGTGTAATCGACTCCCAAACCTAGAATTTGGTTGCGACGACCATGTTCTTATCTCTTTAAAGGTTTTATCGATATTTTCCTATTCCTCCCTTGGAACGAATAAAATTCGGTGGTGACTTTGTTCGAATGTATTTTCCGCGTCCATCGCGATGATCATATTTTTTGAGGTACGACAGTGACTTGATCAAACTTTGATCTAGGGTTTAGAGGTGGTTAAATCAATAACAAACAATAGGGCTTGTGGGATTAGAATTATTAACCTCTTGTATAAATATTTTTACAAAGATAAGGTTAATTGCAAGTATCTCAATTCGATTTTGAATTGAGGACAGACGTATCCATAGCGAGGCCGATTGGGGAACAACCTAAACAAATCTTTGTGTCTCTTTTATCACTTTGTTTTTCTCTAATAGTTGTTCTTGCAAATTATCAGTTTTGTTATTGTTTCGATTAATTCAATTGGAAATTATTTTCAACTATGTTTTAAAGTGTTGTTGTTGATATAATAACAACCACTTTGATTGTGATTGGCTTTTTACATCAATAAAATAAATCGAACTTCCAAACATGATCAATTGCACACAAAGTATTTGATAAATTTTCTTTAAGTATTTTTATCGCTTTATGTTCATTGGAAATAAGCATTACAGATAGCTTTGCATTTGATTTACCCATGAATTAATCGTTGTTGAACAATTTGTGTTTATTATCATTCCATCGGATTTTATTACGCATATTCGAGGTTTTACGATAGTAGGTTCGGTTAGACAATTCGATTCAGATTGTTTCCATTGTGCCATACTTTTTGAAAACAAATATTTACCAAGAGTTTTTGTTTTAAATTTTGATCTATTCACCCCCTATAGATTCAAGCCTATTGTCTAACAATGTCTAGTTATTTCCTATTCTTTTTTATGTTGTTGATGCGAGCAATAGACTCATACTTGTTATGTTACGCAATGTTGAGTTACTTTAATTGATTCATTTTCTGTTGCGATGAGCCTATGAAGAGGCGAGCACCTGATGACAAATGTTTAATTTATGACATGTTTGAGTGACCCATGTTATGAAGCAGATTTATGTTGTGTTGGAGTGACACCCTATGTGTATGGTTATTTCATTATTCTTATTATTTTCGCTTTGGGATTATTAGGGTGTTAAACGACCCACCATCACGCCACTTGAATTCTATTTTCACTGCCCTAGTCACGTGCATCAATTTAGAGCGTGAAATTGGCCCCATCTCAACTAAACTCCTTACTTTCCCCCTTATTTCATAATTCAATCCGTGTAAGAAATACCCAAAGTATTTCTTATGTGGGAGCTTTAAAACTTGAGCAATCAGGTACTTAAAATCTTGGGTATACCTATCCTCATATCCATTTTGCTTTAGATCTTAGAGATGCTAAAAAATGTTCTAGTATCTGATTCCCCCAAAACAATCGAACAATTA